TTTGTGATAGGTCTTCTGCAAAATTGCCTTTATAATGGTCGACGGCTACTGGCTAGTGACATAATACACCTAAACATTGATTTTCAATCAAACCAACATTCGTCAATCAGTATATCGATCATTCAATTTTTTATAGCATCATCAAGGATCAAGGAAACCAGATATAATTATAAACTCTTGAGTATATAAAATATACTGTGGGTATTTGCGTGATTGAATAGGCCTATTTGGTGTATTCTGATACTGTATGAATTATGTACGTTATGTTTTTATTGTTCAACTGCTTTTGGTAAATTTAGTTTGAATATCGCAAAATACTATTTCAGATCGAATTTTAATAATATCATTGCTGTTGTTATTGTTATTATAAATAATAATAATAAAATTTAGACGAAAACTATAGCACAATAATGCAGGATAGAAGGAATATTGAAATAATATAATAATTCAAGGTAGTTATAATTGTTCTGTCCAACAAATGAAATCTCATGCATAATATATTATTCCACATAAAATACAATAGGCCTACATAAAGCAAAATATCCAATCCATTAGTCTAACTATATGGAGCTATATAACCGATCGGCTGGTTCACTGTTGATTGTTTCCTTTCTTTCTTTCCAGTTCTTTGATAGATTGTTACTAAATCTCATTTTTCTTATTAGATTTTGCCCTATTATTGTCGTTTTCTGTGTACACTTGAATAGGCTTTCACTACACTTTTATTAATATTACATTGTATACATTTACTTTATTTTATATGAAACTCACTCACCATTTTTTTTATTCATGTATTACTAATCAGGCTAATTAAGTTTAAGTTTATGCAGAAGATTTTAACGATTTTTTTTAACCTCACGTGTAGGCCAACATTTATTAATTGTGGTGTCCGTCACACATGCTATGGTCAGTCCTGTTCTTGCACCTCTCTGTTTTTTTTGTTTTTGTTTTTGTTTTTTTCTGGTTAACCCACCATTTTTATTGTAACTTTATTGTTCATTTATCATTGGTGAATAAACTAAATTCTATTTTCTCTTACTGGGGTACGGTAGTGGTCTAGTTCTAGCCCTTGTTGCCTTTAAAAGTCATAAATAGTTCAGCTGTAATGTCCTCCCTGTGAGAGTGTATTGTACCGATAGTTTCAAATTTTTATTTTTTGGTCTTTGATCATCGGGATATGCATCGACTCATTTCGGTTTTATTTGTAATTGTCTCACGATTATGCTCCCACCGTGTTTTATACCGTATATTTTGTTTATATTTTCTTTTCTTTTATTTATTTTTCCATCATTCAGTCATCATCCTTCCCCCTTTTTGTGAGATTCCCACTAATGACATCTCCTTTTCCCTGCATATAATTCAATTAGATCACAATTCTTACCTAAATATTATATAGAAAATCCGACTTATCCGAAATTAGTTAATTTATTTAATTGTTTTTATCTTCAGAAAAGACTCTCATTTATGCTATATTTATTCTTCAAGACACGATCAAAAACAATGTCAATACTTTAATGAAGAATGTCATATATTTTGCTCCGTTCTTTTAAAGAAATAGCTATTATTACTATTTTTATTATTATTAATAATAATAATATTATTATTATTATTATTGCTATTACTATTACTACTATTAAAAGAAGAGAACAATACAAAATAGGTTTTAGAATATTTCTTTTTGATGTTTTAGTAACCCATCGATCTTTTAAAGCATTACTGTTAATAGTATTATTATTACTATTATCTTACCATTATTACTATTATTAATATTATTATTATCCATTAAGTGCTCTATCATAAATGCAAATGTTCTATAACTGTATTTGGTTTTCGATGGGCCAAAGGCCTAAAGAATTATAAAGGCAGGGGTAATCTCCTTGCATCGAACATATCTCCTTTTCCCCATAAAGTATCTTGTCCTCTCCCCCCCCCCCCCCCCGTTTATTTTAATCCAATATTTAATTAACTTTTCTGTGATGTGCTTTTAACCCAATTTTATTATTTATTAATTTTAATGTGACCCTAGGCCCTTCTGCTATTTTAATTCAATTGTGGTTATTGAAAAAATTGAAAACTCTGGATGTAAAGGAAACGAGTTTTTGTGGTTCCAAATTACTTGGCTTGAAGGAAGCAATAATTAAATGTCACAATAAAACATTGATTTATTAGATCTTTTATATAGGGGCGGGGGCATTATAGATCGGGTGGCCCCTGGAGCTCCGGGGCCCTGGTTCAATGAACCTGTTGAACCTGCAGTAGTTACGCCACAATACGCCCAGCTGTGGGATCCGTAAATTTGCCGACAGGGGTCCGACATGTCCGACGAGGGTTAACCAAGGGGCCGACTAGATCTAGTCTCGGTCAGGGTTCTGGAACTAAAAAAAATCCCTTGTAGGGTTCACGGAGAGAGTTTTTATGGCTTATGTGCCAAATTGTGCTTTTGACCAAAATATTAGGGATTTGCAATCAACATAACGTTATTTGGATAGGCAAGTTATTATTTTGATCCGACGAACTCGTCATGGCTTCGAACAACGGGGCTGGCTGGTGGTGTCCTCCCGCGTGTCCCACTACTAAAATGCCATCAATTGAGATTTGTTGTATTTATGCCACAGTGTGTACCGAAAGCTTTAATTAGCTTATAGTGTCAATTCGCTGAATTTATCACAAGTATTTGTTTGCTAAAAGATGCTTTCTTATTTGTTTGCGATCAATGTATTGTTATTAGAAGAAGCTCAATGACTAAATTTACTTAAATTATGGTTTTCTTTTGTTTTGTTAGTATCATAAAAGGGTTTCATCGTATTTTTGTTATGTTAGTGCCACATGTGATAAGGAAGCTGAATATAATATCTTTGCTAGCCTACAGACTTTAGTTATTATTGATTAAAGAATGTTTAATATGACTTTACATCATCACTCCAATATTATTGGTATGCTGATGCAAGGTCATATTAATAATTCTTAAATCAATAATGACTAAAGTCTTGGCCTGTTATATATTTTTTTGTTGTTGGTAGAAGGTATCGACTTATTCATGGCGCTACTGCTATTTATTCTCATTAGCATTAAGTAGTGCCATTATTGACATGGATGCTTTTAAACGAACATTATCAAATTACGAGTTCGATTAAAAATTTACGCATTCCCGTCCCCATTTTAAACTTTGGCATGTAATTCATTGATTTTGTGCGTGTCTTTTTAATTAACCATTATAAAGGAACAATTTAAAACTATTAATGATGTTGACGTCTTAACGAAGATTGACCAACACAAACATTTATGAAGGCTAGAGCACTTATACTATTTCAAATTACATTTACTGTCAGCAGCATAAACGGAAGTTAATTTTCCATCATCAGCAGGCATTCTTTAGGAATTAAACTATATACAAGTAGAGCATTGTAATCTAGGGCTAACGATTCATAAAGAAGCGTAGGCCTATTTCATTATCATTGTTAAAAGCGTATCATTGTGTATGTATATATATTTCCTCCTTTTTTGATAACACAATTGGCCTATGCATTGCATTCTTGATTCACTTGACTTTTAGGTTTGTCTACCACCTCCTCAAAACCAACAACATAGGCCCTATGACCCTACAATTCAAATTATATTCGTATTCGCGCACTGTTATTATTATTATTATTATTATTATTATTATTATTATTATATTACCTACGGCAATTCCAAAACGGATCAAGAATGACTGTTCAATTATTGGATACGCCTATTCATAGAAAAGTATCAGATGAAGGCTTATAGCTGGAGAGCTAAAGTAAGCGGATTATTGCTCACAATAAATAAAGTAGGACAACAACCAATATGAGAAAAACATAACAATACATGCATTAAACATGAAAATATTGTAATTGTGTGTAGGAATGATAATATGGCAATCCATGACAAATGTTTCAAAATAGTAACTACTCAGAATATTAGGCCTATTATGTAGAATACTGGAGTTTTGAGTGATCTCCCTCATAAACAGGCCAGCTTCTGATTCGATCAATGGATATTAATATTTTTCCTTTGTGGCGTGGCATTATTATTTTGGTATGAAATAGGAATGAATCCAGAGGAGGGGTGTAAAATGATTAGTTAGCCAATCTGAGCGATTTGAGCCCTTAAAATCATACAAAATACAATAATATAAATCTTCTAGACCAATAGGGAGAATGGAGATAGGTTACATAAGAACGAGTGTTGAGTATGCATCTAGGTCTTACTGTACAACAAAGTAATATGATTGAATAAATTAAAAAAAGGGCCTATTGATTTCATTTTTTATTTTATTTATTCGGATTATAATACTCAAAGACAACAACATGAAAACTTATTGAGTTTACATAATAATAACATAATAAAAAGACGCCTAAATACAGGAAAAGGATACAAAACACGCAAAATACTATACAATCAAAAGTATAAAGTTTACAGTAATTTAAGGGAATAACTAATTATAAAAATTAAAAAAAAATCATCGATTATGATCTTTATCTGTTAAGAGTTTTAGGAGCGGAATTCATATCATAATCAGCATAATTTTGAGAATATCATAATCTGACCACATTCAACAGTTTCAAGAGCCTCGCAAACCCACAGGCACTAAAGCAAGTTTGGTCTTACGTCCGCCGATCCCATTTCAAAAATCGTTTGATTATATATAAAGTCTTATGCTCCTACAACAAACAAATCAATCCCACCACTCCATTGACGATAACTGTTAACATCACATGACGCTGTGCTGAGATTCCTGGAGCTACCATTAAATTAATTGCTCGTGTTTTACCATTCACCCACCACCAATCATGTACGTCAATCCTAAAATGATTATCACTTGTTTTACATTAATTTGCATTTGCTCACGTAATAAAGTATGAATTAGTTCTGATTATTTTTTTTTTTATTTATATAACGGACTCAGGTAACACGGACTTGAACCTTACAACATAGTTTTGCTAAGCAATGAAGATTAAGCAATCCTCTATTGTCTGAATCACCTTCTTAAAACTGTTTGATATTCGAGTTCTATTTTTGGTTTAAAATATCCACACACTAGGCCTACAATAATATCTCAAAAATGATTTATAACAGACGTCCTCTGATTTTTTCCATATCCCATTTCAATTTTGTAGAGTTACAGTACATGCAAGCCATTGGTGGTGCCATTATTTGCCCGACAGGGGGGTCCCCAGAGGGGGTCCTAGGTCCCCGACGGGAGACCGAGGACCGATTTCCCCGACGAAAAAAGTGGGAGTGGCAAGGCGTCGCCTCAAAATCTCCCAGAAAAGAGTTCCATGAGGGAAAAAATATGACACTTTAAGGGTTTTAAAGGCTTATTTCATCGATTTTGGGTCTTAATAATATATAAAAAGTAAATACTTTTTTTTTCTCACCGACGAAATGTGGTTTTTTCCCCGACGGTGGGGTTGGGGGAATGGCCCCGCCCCGTCCCCCGCTGGCGCCACCCCTGATGCAAGCAAGATAACACTGTACATAACTCTTACAATTCTTTAATAATTCCTCCCCAAATCCAGTATCATCTCACCCTCCATTCCATTTTAGGAATGTTATTTGTAATAAAGCTGCTGCCCAATTTGCAAAATTCTACACTTCCAAAATTATACCGCATTCGCAACTATTCACCCTCTCTTACATGCTACGTTATTTACTTCATTGCAATTAACCTATACATGGTTATTACATTGATGAGACTGGACATTTCGATGCAGGATCCATAATCAATGAATTCGTGATAATCAAGAAGGAGTATCTGGTAGCCAAACATTTCAACCTAGCTTAATATAGTACCGTAATCTTCAATGTGTAATCATTGCCAGCTTATCGTAAAAATATAATTTTCAAATAAATGAAGCATCTGTCGATACCACATCGCATTCTTTACAATTTTTTGAAGTTAAATGGAAACACGATTGATTTAGAATGTATATTGAGAAACACAATTACCCTTACCTCAACAAAGCACTCACTTTAATAACCTGCTAATGCTTTGGGAGACAAATTTTGCTAAATTCATATTTGTATTTTCCCGCCTTCTGAAGATCTTTAAAAATACGAAGTCTGAACATCATAATCATCGTTAACCCCATCATCACATACGTCATCGCCTACATTAACATCAAGCTACTCTAATATGACTGCATATTTGTTGTAATCTCCGAACAAAGTGGAAATCAAGATTGCATCCACGATCACAATGAATTATTTATCATAAGGGGTATCCTTGATAAGGGTATTCCCTGACGAAACCTTCTCTTTTCCCCGATGGATAAAAATTAATCTTATAAGAGCCCGGAAATGGTACTTCAATTGTGGCGGGTCCAGGAAGTCGGAATACAATTTTTTGTCTGTTTTCTCCATTTAAAAAAATAATTTTGAAAGAATTAGGATGGTGGACCCGTGCCGACTGGGCTCCCCCTTGAATCTGTCACTGTTCAATATAACACTTTACATAGCCTATCACTTTGTTTCACAAATGACTAATCCATAATATCAAGCGAAATTTTTTTTTTTTAGTCGAAAGATTTTGTTTATTCAATAGTTTTTACAACGTATAATAGGCCTACCTTAACTGTAATCTGTAGTTAACCTTCAGATAACTTTATTTTAATAAATGGCCTCTTAAGGATCTTGTTTTCGTTAAATTAGAAGGAATGTGGTTATATATTAGGTTAGTTTGATGGTATACTGTAAGCCAATCAGTTACATCTTCATGGTTAACATAAAGAGAAAAGAGCGTCGCTCCATAAAAAGTGCTATACCTCTGCCCTGTGTCAAATACAAAATTCACGCAAGGCAGGCGATTCCATTCTTTTCTTCATGCTCCGATCTTTTCTTCATGCGCGTTTGCAGACATCTGGTTGTTCAACTCAAAAAAGGGAACTTGTTTGAAAATGAAAATGAAAAAAAAAAACAAAAAAAAAAAAACTATACTGTATAACAACAATAGGTTGATTTATAAGGCCAAATAAACAAGGTATTTAAGCACCAAATAATAATAATAATAATGACATTGCATAGCGTTTGTTGAATATTTGTCACTGGTGCTGGGAACAGTCACAAAAGTGGGGGGGGGGGATGGCCCACTGTCCCTCGCTTCCGCCGCCGTTGTCATATTCGTCATTTCGATCAACATTACGTCACTATTTTCATATTTATTGCCAACATCGTCGTCATTTGCGTCATCATATCCATATAACAGACCTACATAATTTTTTCCTCATTTCTTATTGGCGTTGATGTTTAGCATTAAAATTAATTTTGATTATTATTAACAACAAAGACCTCATGTATTGATATATCAAAAGCAATTATCATATTGTTGCCTTCCAGCAGGCCACTCATTCAGTTACTTTGTTTATTAATTTATTAAGCCTACGGTATATTATCCGGCTTGTTGTCTATGTATTTTCCAAGGTCCTGCTGTAGATGGTAATCTGGAGAATAAATTGGCAAAAAATCACAAATAATTTATATGTGGATATCTTTATTGATTATGTTATTATATCATACAATTCCGTAACTTGGTACACAAGAGGAGGAAGATGATGTAATACCCAACGTAATAAATATATATCACCAAATCTGAAGTCTACGATCTTTCTTTTAACTGCATTAGATCTTATTATGTTATAGAGTTTAGGTTGCGCCATTGTCGGTATATTCTCGGTGTACAAAATATATGCACTTTATATCATACAATTCCATAACTCGGTACATAACAGGATGAAGATGATACAAAATCTGAAATCTACGATCTTATTATCTTATAGAGTTTAGGTTGCACCCATTGTTGGTACATTCTCCGTGCAAAATAAATGCACTTTAGAGATTTAACAACACAATAACTGTCTTCCTAAATTTATTATCTGATATGACGTCGTGGAAAATCTTGTGCAATATTAAGTTGGTTGAGGCCAACAACATTTATCGTTTAATGTAAATTTGAAAATATTTAAGCCATTTTGTCGCAGAGAAAGGCCTTATGAATAAAAATATATTCATTTAATCTCGTGGGTATTAAATTTATTCTATACCCAGTCGGCCTCACAGCGCTTAAAACAGGACCAAAATGGATTTGGATTTATTCGGAGTAAACACCAAGAATAATCCAGGAAAGTCTGAAGAAGACAGTATTTACAATGGGTCCTTCTGGTGATGACTGGGCATGCAGTAGACAGGGAGACAATCTCATACTATTTTCCAAAGAGTGTATACTGTGTTCTTTAACGTGCACATGGGCCATATAACACAAGGAAACAACGGCTTAAACGTCTCATTCGAAAGACAATGCAGTAAATGAAACATGCATTTCCTCCCTCAGCAGAAACACAAGGAGAGCAGCGATGGGATTTGAACAGCACAGAGATTTCCATGGTTCAGCACACGCACATTGGCTTTACACAAGTTTAACTTACTGGATATAAGCTGCCCTCAATATAAAATGTAAATCGCACATACCCGATACAAAAAATTCCATTATAGTCTATATCATCATCAATTGAGATGATTGTACATTATGTCATGAATGCATTTATCTGCATTATCATTCTTCAAAAGTATGTTACATCGTCTGTTAACGTGACCATCCACACAATGAGTATCAATTGGCTGGCGAATGGCGACAGGGGACACTCAACAACTTTTTAAATTGCAATGGACATCACACACAAGAAAAGTTACGTTCAAATAAAATAAAAAGGACTGTTGTGTCAAGTAGTCCTCAGATGAATGTCGTTAACTATATTTTTCTGTTTGCCTAGCTACATAATATTTTATCTATCGCTCAAAATAATACTGTAGAGCATGCATCTCTTACTTTTAAGAGATGTACAATATGAATTAATTTACTTAATCTTAACTGATGTTGTAGTCTCACAGTGCATCAGATGTGCTATAAAGCTATCATTTAAAATGTCTAGAAATATTGCACATATTTTTGTAAAAAATGTATAATTGGTCGAAGTCATCATATATCGTCTTTGATGGTTCAACATAATATTATGGTTCAAATAAAAAAAATTTTTAAATCCTGCTGCTTCTACAGTCGTTATTATTGCTGTATTTGTGACTGCCTTGTAAGATTCACCCACTTTTTCGATTCCCAATCTACAGTTTTTATTTCTCTTGGATGACTACATTCATCATTACCTCTGTCATGAAGGTTATGTATTCACTTAAGTTGTCTGTCTTTTTGATCAGAAATATGCAAATAGATCATCATAAAAGTCAGTAGCATGTTGCATGGTCTTAGGAAGAGGTGATAAAGTTGAAATTCTGGTGTGGAAAGGAAATTATTACTGTACTATCAGTGGTGAATGTACAGGGGAGTGTGGGGGAACATGCCTTCTCCAAAAAAGCTTGGTCCTGCACATGTGCGCACTCCTCCTCACTGGAAATTTGCCGAGCAAATAAATTACGCTCAAGTAGTTACAGATCACCTCATACCACCTTATTTTGACAGCTCATTCCCCTTCACTTTAACATCAAGCCCCCTAACTTTTACACCCCACCCCAATGTCAATACCCTTATGTATATACCTGTAACTGGTTATTAGACATTTTAATTCAATTAGAGCTTGAGCCTGCCTTACCACCTCTACTAGTGCTTTTTGTTGAACCACCAGCTCTTCCACTATTTGTTACAATTCTCCTTGAACTACTTGTTGATGCCTTTCTGGATGCAGTGCTTTGACTAGCACCAGCAACTGCTCTATGGCGATGATTTGGCTTGATGGTTGTAGGGCCATTTCTTGCTCTAGCTCTTTCATCTTTTAACTGCAAATAAATGAGGAATACATACAATTGTTAAATGTATTTTCAAATAATTATAAAAATAATATAAAATGGTCATTTCAGTGGTTCAACCATTGGATTACAATAGAAATAAACAAATAATAAAGTACAGTAGATATTTATAAAAGTACCTAGGTGCAACAGTTATTATTTAAATATATAGACATCAAACTAGTGTAAAATATATAGTGTAGTATAGAGCAGTGGTTACAATTATACACCACACTACAGCAGGGGATTTTCTCCCAGTGTACAGACCGATTTTCTATTACATGTTCATGTGATGCTGTAATATGATTTTGTGTGCTTGGCAAAAACTGTTGTTTCAGGAGTGTCAATCAAACTTGACAACTGATTAATCAGAACAGCGCCAGGGATATGATGTGTCCTAAAAACACCCGTTTTCCCACAAACGCACATGTTTGTGTGTGTTTTAACACTGTCGTTTTTGTGAGACTTTAGCAATAATATCCAAGGGGTAGGCTTATAGCGGAAAGGTCAATTTATAACCAAATTTTGCTAGCTATAACTTGAACCTTACTCTTTGCTGATATCTTTTTTCATAATATTCCATATCTGCATCTGTGCCTGTGAACTTGAAGTTAGCCAGTTCATCTGAAACCTGGTCCACACCACTTCCCTCTCCTTCTAACTTCCTTAGAGTTGAAGCATGCATCTTTAAGAATGGATGGTCAGACGAGGTGATTGGCTGATTAAGAAATGCATCATCTGGGGTTCCTACACCGCTATCATCAAGCCTCATATAGCCTTCCGCTAAAGAGCTGAAACCAGTAATACCACCCATTGCAGCATAAGGTATGTCTCTGCCAACTGGATGACCTCGTGCTAAACGTTCCTCTTTTGTCTCTACGATCATATCATGTGCAAATGCTGGTTGTGTGCATGAACATGTGTAAGAGCTTCGGAATGCAACACAATTACATTTTGCTGAAACGAAAGAATTATTAGTCATCATCATCATTTTCATCATCATTAATAAAAAATATCACTTTATTGCATCAAAAACAGAAATAAAGAAAACAAAGAACAAGTGCTCATTATTGCCTAGGACTTGTTCTTTGTAAAGGGAACATGCAAGGCTGAGCAAAACACCCAAAAACAGTCACACGAGCACATATCATTCTTAACTCAAGCTTCAAAAAAGGAACTTAAAAATTCAGTAACAAAAACATTTCAGATTTGATGTCGAAAGGAGGAATTATTAAAATTATTTACAATTATAAAAAAAAAAAATATAATTAATCTACAATGCGCTATTAAAAAAAAAATCATTATATAATCATTGTCATCATATTTATTGTTGTGATTATTATTTTAATATTACTTAATGGTATTGTAAGTAAACATTAAATTAACTTTAAACTGCAATGTATTTTCCGACATGTACAGTATATAATCAATTAAAGCAATGTTGATGTCCAACATTAATTATTATTTAAATTAAATGAATGTTTGCTCCTTAGTTAAGTATTTTTATTAAAAAAAAACTTGTATAAAAATCAATTGCCGTAGATGATGAATAAATATATATAAAATAATTGGGACGTTCTCATTTTCTAATTAAGAAACACAACTCACATATTTTGCATTTATGAGATGGTCCTTCAGAATGGTCTTCTGACGTATGCTTGCATCGACAGCGTATTGGTTGACTACCAACGCGTGGAACATAGTTGTAAGAAGAACATTTGCATCCTCGAACTTTACAAGGCAATTGAATTGGTCGTTCAGCTGGAATGTCTTTAAAGTCCGATTTATGCTGCTTATATCTGCAATTTTAAGAAAAAAATACTATACGTATATACGGAGAAAAAGTGAGAGAGAGAATATAACTCATTGTACTGCAGTACTGTAGCAGTGGCACAATTACTACATTACAAAAATGATTTCACTGGTTATAATGTATAAACAGATATACATACTTACAGTATGAATGTTATTGCACAAAAGACTATGTAAATATTAGAATAATGAAAGTAAAACTGACTATAAATTGATGTTAGTTTACTGTACAATGTACACAGTTACCATATAGTTATGAAGCACATAGTTACCCTACTTTAACATAATGCATTGTATGAACACTTCAGCATGTAAAATGCACTGTTGAAATGAATAGATTTATTTGTGTTCAACAGGGACATAGGCTGGTTTCGGCTGGGGAAGGGGGAGGTGAAAGTGAAACATGCGAATGCGGAACTAAATTCCTATTCCAATGAAAATTTCATGGTCACTTTTAGCATTTCAACCCACTTTAGTAAAACTATATGTTGCCATTCCCCCTGTACCTAGCCTCAGCCCATGCATTAATACAGTTTATTTAATTACACAATGGAGGAAAGAAAGCAGAAGATTTACATGGCAGTATACTTATTATTACTATAATAAAACTTAAATGTAAGAACTGTTTTTTTTAGTTTCTTTTACCCTATACTCCTTCCGGTGCACTCTGTTCTACTGATAAACACCTTCTGCAAGCCCCTTTACATACAAATAAACATAAAACATAAGGTCAACATTCCTTTTCTGTTCAGGCTCCCTTCTCTGGAATCAGTTACTAATTTGTGTTAGACAGTCCACAGATTTAGTTCTATTGAAGAAGAATCTCAAAGCCGGATTTTCTAAGGCATTTTTATTCAGCTTTATTTTTTAATTGCCCCCATTGATAATTTGTTATATTTGAGCAGTAAAATTTCTGATTTAATAATATTATTAGCAGTAGTAGTATTATTCAATTCAATTCAACAACAACATTTATTTCATCCAAAAGCCAACAATTATTATATAATTATCACCTGTGTTGACAGAAGCATAGTGTTTCTGGTCCAATTAGTTTACAGTCCATTCCACTTGGGCCAGTCCAGCTGACATACAGACGGTTTTGCATTCTAATCGGTATGACATTCTTTTTGTATTCTTCATACTCCTCTGGAGAAAACAATTTACCACCATCATCATCACCAACTATTCTGAAATAGAGAGAAAACACACAATTTGATAATTTTAAGTTACTAACAAACTGTAGTTTCTTGCCTTCCTGCACTGTATGAAACTTCTAAATGTTAAAAAAAAAATGATGTGGATATTGATCCGACGAGTTTACCAGTATTTGATTAGTGGCGCTAGTCGCCCAGCCCTTAGCTTTAAACTTCAATCATGCTGTCACAATGTACAATGGCATGTCAGGTAAACCAGGGAGTTGGGTAAACATATCCATGTGCAATTTAATTGGTCAGAACGTTTGAATCCGTCGTCGCAGAAAGTACCCTGTATTCTTAGCTAATCAAAAATAAAGACACTCTCATACGCATCAACTTACTTACCATGACTACTATAGGCTAAATTAATTATTATTATTGTATTATTTGATCTAGGCTAGGCCTAGCTAGAGCGCTAGCACGATATGCTATTACATCTTCATGCACTATTGTATCGTCATAAACTGGTGCACGTACATAGGTCAGGTGGAGACTTAGGCTGGCCTCTACCAGGGCTTAACCTAGGCCTAGCCTAAGCTCTACTAGCCCTTATAATTGAAGTCAGGCCAATTAAAAATTGGCAAAATGCAATACTTTCCACACAAACTGGGCTGGGTGCTGCGGTGTTGCTAGCCCCACCCAGAGAGAGTTTTTTTAGGGCCAGACTTAGGCTAGAAATAAAAATATTATTAATATCAATAGGTAGGCCTATTCTGTAGTTCTGTATTCTGTAGGCCCGGCCTGACCCTAGGCTAGTGTGGTGCCGGTGCATGTCGCTGCTGGTGCATTGTCACATCACCAGAGCTTCCAATGCAGCTAGGTGACATGATGTAGTCAGCACCGTCCAGGGGCGGGCGCCACCTAGGGACAGACGACCCAATGAATGTTGGAACCAAGGTCTTGCACGCGCTGCACTGCTAGGCAACTTTGGTACCAACGAAGATACACTATCACGTACATTGAAGAACTACTATAGAATACCACAGTCGTGTCGTCACAACACTATGTGGCATCTCTGGACGTTGGTTAGTATTCATTACGCCTGAATGACTTCATAATCTTAATGGTTTAGAATAGGCTTTCTGGAATAGGCATTTTAAAACCTAATAATTTACCAACAAAAAAGGTACTAAAAACACAAAAAGCTCGCAATATTATCGAACACACATTTAATCATCAATTAACATTCTTAAGAAAAATTAAATACAACTTCTTAATAATTATGTCAGAAATTAAGATCAATAGTTTGTCAGCGGAGAAAATAGCGTCTGTTGAACCCATTTTTGTGTCGCCGATAGCAACGGAGTAGTATCACATGTGTCGTAACACTGTATTAATTACTTGTAGTGACGACCCCCGTACGTTCGTATCCCCGATCTACGCAGGAGGACATGACCTCAAGGTCAGCTCATCTGCATAACCCACAGCCGGGTGTGCTGCACAGCCGACCAGGGGTACCTGGTGAGATTACTCACTCGTACACTGGACTTAATGCAAGACGCATCAGCTAACGCTAAAGGATTGTTTATCTGGTGTCCGAGTCTTCACAGGAGTATAATTGCCTCGAAGCAGATAACCCATTGGATAAGGTAAGAAGCACCACTCGGTACCTTTAATATCACAGCATATATATAGGCGATAAATACTACATTGGCGCTGCGAGCAAAAGGCTTGTCAGTGTAGTTTAATTAATTATGTTATTAATTACTACATTGGCGCTGCGAGCAAAAGGCTTGTAGACATTGCTTGTTTTTTAGTGCCTATGTAGGATAAATACTACATTGGCAAGGTATTAGTGCAAAAGTACTATAATAGTTTATTGAGAGCTAGTAATAGGCATAAATAAGTATTGTGTTTTCGCACGTACTTTGTATTGCGTTACTAGCGGCTCTGTTTTTTGATTAGTTAGGTTTTTTTTCTGTGGGGAGAAGTGTTCGGGGCCGGCAATTAGATTGCGGACTGGCGAGTACCCTCACAGCTAATAGAGACTAGGTTTTTAGCGTAGTTTTTAAATAGGGACGTTGTAGAGGGAAGCGTACAGGGCCACTAAATATATTGTAGTGCGGTCTGTCGAGTACCTCTACAATTAGTTTTTATAGACTAGGAGTATTTTAGTTAGGCGTATTTTGCGGTTCGTTTGTTTCAACCTTTCACGTCGGCGTGCCTTCGTACGTCGGCTGTT